CAGCCAGACTTACAATGTAAAGATCAGAAAGAGCAACAGATGGATAACAAAGTAAGAATGAATCCAACTGCTAGCTTAGCATATGAGCAGCTTCCTGTTTCAGTGTCAAGTGCACAATGTGTTTCTTTAGCAGAGCTCTTCCTCAAGCAGCACTACAGTAACAAAGAGTTAGCACTGTTAGCAGCTGAGCATGCTGTGGACTGACAAATCCCATTTTCCATCTCTTTAATATTACAGTGAGTAGACTGCAGAGGGCCCAAATCAAATCTAACTTATCTATTTAACACATTGACTAAATGGATGTTCTAATACTTTAATTCTTCTTCTTTTGGGGACAAAACTATTTGAATGTAAAGAGTCTAAGTCTAAATTATACAATTGCTATCTTTGTTAAATTAGTTTAATAAAGCTGCTTTATAACCTTTGAACGGTAGTGGATAGTATAAGGCGCTATTCATTATATAAGTGTATTTTTTAACACTGCAGATGTCTTTACCATCCTCTGTCTCACTGTGTGGCAGGTGGAGCTGGCAGACGGCAGCTTCATCAGAACTCTTCATATTGAACAGCGGCCCTGCTACCTGCTTACCAGCTATTTGGAGGAGTCTCTCCTTCAAAGGGACCGTCCTGTTCAACAGCTCCGCTTCCTGAGCCACGAAAAATATCAGGCCAGTCAAAGTACACTGTAACACAACTGGACGAAGAGACCTGAACCTGTAGACACACAAGGGACAAGTTAATCCAACAAGCATTCACAGGTGAATGACAGGTGTTCATGTGCAGAGCTGGGAAACTGACCGCTGTGTAAAGACTGATAACATCGAGAGGATCAGTCCGCTCTCTCTCAGCAACATTCAAGACTAATGCCATGCAATCATGAACTCCTCACAGATATCACCACAAGGGTTCCCCTCAAAACGCTTCCTCCTCTTTCTTTTTCTCATGATGGAGCACCAGCAGCATGTATTGCTAACTGTTTTCGTTTCGTTTATATGGTGAATGTAGGTACCAGGCCCAGAGTCACCACATAGTGCCCGGAACATCCAAGTGTTGCCAACTCATCCCTCTAGCTCAGAGTCCAAGAGGAGCGGGTCAAATGGCCTGCAGAAAACATGACTTCATTGTGGAATCAGTTTGCTGAAGATGACCATATTCTGGAGGTAGCGGTAAAGGAAAAGGCTGATAGTAAGCTGAAAGCAATGACAGCAATCATCGTCAGCATTGCAGCTGAACGTCTTGGAGAAGAGGGGGAAGAAAGCCTTCCTCAGCTGATGTGGATCCATTCCTTAGAAGAAGATCAGGATCCTCCATCGGGCTGAAATGATGTTGTGACAGGGCCAGAGAATGTACTGCCTTCATTGCCGACCACTTCAGTTCGTCAAGGAGTTACCGAGACAAAAGCGCAGAGGGAAACTGGACGGCCCCGCAGGAAGACCAAGTTCTAACATCTGAAGCAGACATACTGTATATAGGCTCGAACTGGCAAATGCATACCAATTAACTCCACACAAACTGGTGCAGCTCACACTGATGAAACATCATGTCACTAACCAGATTATTCTGAGCGGGCGTGACTCGAAAAGATTGAGAACCACTGCTGTATACCATCTTAAACATAGATGCATTATATTCTACTGGAATGAGATTGAATGCAATATTTTATGGTGAAAAGCATTACATTAATGTAATAGGATTACCTGTATGAAAATTCATTTGTGTGTTCAGGTGAGAAGGAAACTGAAGCCTGGAAGTATGACGGAAACACAAGTTAGTTATTTTTATAAAAATCAAATACAACTCTTGCTTGATGAACACAAACCACAATTCCAGAACATTGTAAGACAAATGAAAAACATTTTTAAATTAGACTGGATCCTGTCATGGCTTATCAACAGGTTAACATGTGACGTAGTGCTGAGTGACCCGGTCTGCCGCTGTAGCCCGGTCACAGCAGTACCAGCCAATCACAGCACATTGGGGCGGGACATTATAATTTAAGGTTTCTAGATCAATTGCGCGCGTAATAGCGTTTTCCTTGACAGCCATAATAATAATATTTCTTTCAGTGGTGAAATATATATATACTTCACTCTGTACAACTGCTCCGCTCTCACCTTAATGTCTGTCGTCACTTCCTGTTCCACATCGGAGTAACCTGATGGAGAGAAGAGGTGACAGAAAAATAATAATTAAACATGAACAAAGAGAAACATTAGCAGCCAAAAATGATTAAATAGAGCTGTAACAAGATGGAACTAAAATATATTGTTGTTGTACTATAAGGACATTTTAAGATCATATTTTAATGTACAATATCTT